TCAATCTGTTTACTGACTTTCCCTAAAGCCACAGATACTATTCCACCTCTGAATTCACTTAACTCAAATTACTTGAAATCTATACCTCATTTTTGGATATCTTTTATAGCCACCTGAGTTGTTTTGGGAATGGAGTGAGGTATTTCTAACTACTAGGTAGCATTTACATTTATTGGGAGTTTACCTATGTGTAGGTACTGTTCTGAATGCTGCTGCATTATCTCGTCATTATCCTTTGAGACCTTGACTGTCATAACTTCCACCAGTAATCCAGGAAATAGGCATTGAGGGATTAAACACAGTGTCTGAGGTCAGTCATCCTGTAGACCTTGTGCTGTGAATTATAACTTAAATAAAATAATAACTATGACCCTTCCTATATAGCATTGCACAGTTAAGCTGCTGTCACTTGCTCACTGTTATACAAAACCTGATGTGAATTTTGTTCATATTTGAACTTTAAACTCTCCATTTTATCTATGGGAACTTAATGCTGCTTCTGCCATTGAGATGAGAAAAAGAAATAGATCCACAGGGAGTGGAAGAGATGTGTCCCTTAAACTGGGAGTGGAGCCACAGACCGCACATGTTTTGAAAGTTCCTCCTGGGGAGAATAATGAAGAAGCAGCAACTCCCTGGCAGATTCTGCATCCTTACAGGCTACGTCCTGCTATATTGATCACAGAACTCATACCAGAACTTGATCATTTCATCCCCATTTCTTCCTGCATTCTCTCCATCATACAGAGGAGGAAGCTGGGGGTCAGGGGTTAGCAGCAGCTGGCCCAAAGCTTGACATCTGTGAGAGGCAGAGCAAGCATTCAGAAGCAGACCCAGCTGTCCTGTTGACCCATGATGTGTTAAACCTCAGATTGCCCTGAGAAAGGGAGAATTTTCAGCAGGGCTGGACCTGCTTGTTTCCAGGTAGTAGGAGTAGAGCGGGGACACAGAAGCTCTTGCCCAGCAGAAGCTCGGATTTGGCATATCTCTCTTCCATGCTTTTTTCTCCACAGTTAAAATTCTAAACAAGGCTCCACTGACCTGGGTGCTGAAGTGGCCCCAGGATTCAAGTATCTGCTTCGGATGTACTTTTACCCATGTCATATGCATCAGCCATAGGGAGCAGAGAGTTTTCTGTGTGCTGTGCTAGCTCAAGATGCACAAGGCATGAAGCACAGATTGAGAGACATTGTCTACACCTCCTTGTAAGTGCATGGGACCAGCTTTGATAGGTGCCTCTTCTCTGGCAGGCCAAGCCCATTCCTCTTGCAGAGAAATGCAGGTGGAGAGAGCTCAGGTGCTGCACCTTAAGATTCCCCCACTACAGTGATGGCCCAGGGAAGCGGCAGTGCACTGATGGCATACCTGCTGAGGCTGGCTGTTTGTTATCAATGAAAGCTCTGGAAGGTTTACCATCGCTGGCCTAGGGTTGCCATACACAGGTGTCACACCTTGCTGGCTTGCATTCAGTTCATACAGAAATGCATTCTTTCACAATTATGGAGGCCAGGCATCCAAAATCAAGGCATGAACAAGGTCCTGCTCCATGCAAGGACTGTAGAAGAGCATCCTTCCCCATCTTTTCCCTTCCGGTGGCTTCCAGGACTTCCTAGCTTGTGACACCTCTTTCTGACTCTGCTTCCATCTCTACATGGCCCTTTCCCCTTTGTTCATCTCCTCTTTCTACAAGGACGGTCTTTGGATTTAAGGTCTACCAAGATACTTTTATCTCAAGATTCTTCACTAATGATATCTTCAGAGATGCATCTTTCAATTAAGAGCATGCTCTGGGGTTCCAGAGGAACATAAATTGAGGAGTGCACTAAGCAGCCTACTATACTTATCCAGGCTGTTCTGAGATGTTCCTAGAACTACCTCCTAGCAGGTGTCCAATGTCAACACTCCCAGGAAAAGCTGTGTTCCAGTGCCTCGGGACCCAGAGGAGTGCCTATGCTCCTTAGTGCTCCATCTAGGTGCGTGCAGCAGGGCTGTGATGTTACAGTCACAGAGATAACAGTGTGTAGGTACACAGTATAGGCTCTTGCACATGAACCCCCACCTTGGGCTGAGTATTGTGTTGGTTGATTTCCTGCCTCTCCATACCGTGCTTCTCAGTCTTGCTGTCCACACAGCTCTAACTTCCTAGCAGAAGCTATTGTATGCACTTTACCTATAATTCCCTATTTAAGCTTCATGCCCATATTCTGAGGTTGACCTATTCAGTGTCACCACTTTACAGACAGAGAAACTATGGCACAGACGGGGTAAGTCATTTGCCTATGCACAGTGGCAGTGACTTCAATGCTGGGACTTGAACTAGTCTTAGGGTCTCTGCTCTGAACCATAAAAAAAATTCTCATTGTAAAAATTTAAAAATATAGATAAGTAAGCATCCCTTTGACCATGTTGCAGTGTCAAACCACCCCTCACCAGGAAAGCATTATCTGATGTACATCCCATTTTTCCTAGACCTTTCTTATATGCATATATTCTTATGCTCACACAGAATTATAAATTTCATTCTGTTGAGATGCTATCAAGTTATGTGCAGTATGTCAAGGGTTGGTGTTCAGTTAATAATATGCTTTGATGAGTTTGCCATATCTGCAAGTGTCTACAGAGAACTTTATGGTGTGTGCATCATAGCTGATTTCATTTTCCTCTTGGTGAGTGTTTTGGTCAGAAAAGGGCTATTAGTCATATGACCATTTTAAAACTCTTCAATAAATCCTTTGCACCCACCAACAAGTAGTCTGAGAATAAGAGCAAGAAATAGAATTTGTAGGTCAAAATATTTATATAGTCTTAAAAATGTAGTCTTACATAACCAGTTGATTGATGAATTTGTTAATTGGTCTCTCAAAAAAATCCAAAACAACCAAATAAATAAATACATAAGTAAATAAATAAATAAATAAATAAGATTGTTAAGCAAAGATCACTGTCTGGAAGGTAGTACATATTCAAGAAAATTCAGAACAAAAACTGTTTTGGGGCATTCTTTATAATAATACTAGGCATAGAATTTTCAGCAGCATGGTTCACTAGATCTCAACCCTGGAGAAGTATAGTCTAAGGAGCACTATAAAAATTTATATTCCAGAAAGAATTGACACTTTCTTCATGTCAGAACAGGAGTGGTGGGGTGAAGGGAGAATAAGCATTTACAGTCTTCTCTATTATTCATCAGCAAATTTATAGCTGTTACTTTATCCAGCCAGAAACACTAGAGAGATCTTGTTTTCCATCTAGTCAAATAGGGAAATCAAAGCTTCATGAGACTTGCTCAACTCCCTGTGGGATGTGACCAGGCCAGTTCCTCTGACCTCACATTTGGGAAACCCTACAGTGGGTCCCTGGAGGCACTTTGCTCTGGTGGGTAGTAAATTGGTTTGGAATCATTGACTGTCCCTGGGACATCTTGGGTAGAGATTTCTGGGGCTCAGTTTCCTCCTCTGGAAAATTAAGACTGGGTTACATAATCTCTGTGCTCTTAACAGCATAGTCAGTATGGATCTGTATTAGTCAGCTTCCCCATCTCTGGAACAAAATACCTGATACCAGAAATTTAAGGAGGAAAGGTTTGTTTTGACCCATGATTTAGTCCATAGTTGGCAGGCTCCAAGGCAGAGCACAATGCCATGGCAAAGGAAAACTGCTCACCACATAGCAGCCAGGAAGCAGAGACGGAGAGGAGCTTGGACCAAGAATACACCTTCTAGGTCACCCCTGAGGCCTCACCTCTTAATAATGCATTGCACTATGAACTCATAGGATCAGTCATAGAGGTGGTCTACTGGTAAGTACAGTGCCCCATGATCCAGTCACTGTCCAAAAACCTCACCTCTGAATACATGAGACTTTGGGGGACATATTAGATCTAAACTATTACAGGAGCCAATGTTAAATTTAACAGAAGCAAAGCAGAGATTTGCTACATAATTTCAATCCTTTCTATTTTTGAGATTAGCAGGTGGGGTGCAAAGTATATCCACTCCATCTCCTGTGCTTGTTCTTGTTCTTTCTTTTCTTTCTCTCCTTCCCCTACTACTGTCTCTTGTCTCTTGTCTGTCTTAGATTCTTGCTGAATCATCACATTCATCTCTTTGTCCCGCCCTTCTCCACGCCCACTGTCTCACTCCTCTGTCTCCTTTCTTTGTTTTCTCTTTCCTATTCTTTCCTCCCATGCCTGGTCTCTTCTCCCTGCCTTCCTGTTTTACTTGGTGTCTGTTTCTGACGCTCCTCCCACTTTCTTCTCTTCCCTTATATCCTTCCTACTTCTCTGCTTCTCTCTGTCTTACAAAACTCCCCAGCATTTTCTGTTAAAAAATAAATACTAACCACCAGTTCTTTTTGCCCAATTCATGGTGAATATTACTGGTACAAATAATCGACACAAATTAAACTGGCAACAGCTAAAAGCACACAGGGTGAAATTTGTTATTGACTAAAAATCCATAGAGGACTTGAATCTTCCTGAATAATTTTGTATATCTGCACAATTTTCACCCAGGAGAATTGGACTTGGTGGAAATAATAACTAAAAAGACAACTCGAAATGGCAGAAGTTATAAATTAGTAAAATTTGTTTTGCTCCAAATGCTAATCAATGAATCAAATCTTCATAGAATTCAAACAAGAAAAAAATTGATTCCAGTGAAAATAGCTTTCAAAAAATTGGAAACAATTTAACTATACTATGCAAGGCACTGATCTAGGAATTAAATTAGTTTAATGGAGTTTGCTCTGGAAAATGCTTGCTTAGTGAAAATTGATCAATGTCAGTATAATTCTGATTTTAAAGTTTGTACTAACAAACTTGGAGTCAAAGTGATTCTAGGCTACTTTACTGATGGCAATTACAGTCTCTGTAGGCTGAGTGTTTCCTTCCCAAGCAGACATTTCAATGGTGGTCATGCCTCAGTGATACTCTCTGAGGAACTATGCATGTCCTTCTGCCACCCACGGCTCTGGGTCTGGGTTCCTGCTGGTGAGCCATCACTATTTCTTCTCTGCACAAGGATATAATTGTTGCCTAACAATCTCCAGTGTCACCAGAATCTACAATCACCAAACACCTTCACTTCCATTTTAACTTATGTGTCAGGCAACCTTACAGGAGAGCTATTATGTCCTCAACTTACAGACAAGTAAACTGAAGCTCAGAGAGGACCTGTAGTGGATCTCCTTCCCAGAGCTGTTAAAGATGGATCTGAATCCTGTACACCATTCTATAGTTGGCCAAATATGAAATTTGTGTAATGTGTGGGTCTGCTGCTCTTCCTAACAAGGCTTTGACATGACCTAAAAAAATACATTGTTATCATCAAAGAGATGTTTCATTTTCAGAAACACTTGAGACTAGACCTCCAAAATACACACACACACACACAAGCGTGTTCACTCTGGTTGCATTAATTCACCAGAACAAGTCAATGTCTTGTTAAAGGCTTCTTGAATGTTAATGAATGAATAATTAACTTTAACTATATAATTAGCCTTTAAATGTGCTGAGACCCCCAGAGAGCATCTGAAAACATTCATAAGGAGATGATGAGCTAAAACCGGAAACTTTTGATTAGGAAATGTCAGAGCAGTTGATAATCCAAGTCCCTGTCCCTGAAGGGGCAATGCTCTAGCACTAGGCCATGATCTTCTCTTGGGTACTGGTTACCAGTTTTGTTAATGGGTGCCATATTGGGGGCTAGGAGTGGACTTTCAAGGGCATTGCACAGGTGTAAGAGAGACAGGCTGACTGAAGTAACGAGGTCAGATATGCATATTACAAAAGCTCTTGAAGCTTTTCAGAGCTGTCAGAAGCTCCGGCAGGAAACCAGCAAGCTCAAGTGCATGAGGCCCATGTGACATCCCACCTTACTTTGCTCCTTTGCAAATTCACAGAGATGGGCGTCTTATTTCCCCCTCTCATTCTAAGTTACTGTCATTTCAAAGCATTTGTGTTCCTTGAGGACTGCTGGTTACAGGGAGGGTAACTGCACCCACGTGACCTCTGTAATGACTGACCAGGCTGTGAGGTATTTTGGGCTCCAGTTCTGTCCTGGCCCTCCTGTTGGGAAGCAGAGGCATCATTTTATCTGTCACAGAGGTGGGGGAAAAAGGATCTCCCTTCTGGAGGGAGCAGAGGCAGATGCAGTATTATCCTCAGTGAGCTAGGTAGGGGCTCTTTCACCATCATAGGCAGGTCCTGACCTTGGAGCTTTTCCCTTTCCAGCAGGAGGAGCATTTAGCCTGGATGGTGAGGAAATGGTGATTTCCTGTTGAAAAAGCAGAGATGGAAATGGCTATTAGAGAAGAGTAACAGGGCTCCCTTACCTGTGAGCCCTCGGCTTCACCCGTGCTTAGTTTTGTATGCCTGGTCCCTCCAGGGCTGGCCTTTGGTCTCCATTTTTCCAAGCCTGGCACTGCCAATTACCCAACTGCAGCCCAATCTATTACTCTGTCTTCGGCAGTCACAGCTCAAATCGTCCAAATGCCTTTAGTCCAAATTGGGCTTCAGTTCAGTTGGCCTTTGCTCCTTTCTCATCCTCTGCCTTCAACATGAAACTGTGGTCATTAATACTGAAAGACCTCCCAAAAGGATGGGAGAGGTGGTGTGGGGAACAAGAGGAGTTTTCTATGGCTCCAGGTGCTATATCTGCTTGGAACAGAAATGGAAAAATCTATCACATCTCTTTAAATTCTGGCTCTGGTCCCACTCTGTCCCTTTCTTTCATAACATGCAGCTAAAATCCCTAAACTAAATTTCCTAAGTAGTACATAGAGCTGCATCCATTTATCCCACAAGTCCTAGGAATAAATGACTTGGTCATAATGATTATGTCTCTGACCTTTGCATCAGCCTGCATGGGCCTAAATGCTGTTTTTAACCCTTGGAGTCTGGGTGACATTGTTGACTCATTTTACTGTTTGCTGCCTCAGTTTCTTCATCAGACAATTAGAAGAGCAGATGATGGGAGAGTGTACCCTTCCTTGTACACTGACAGGAGATAAGTAGAACGAGGTAACATCTTCAGTGGTCAGGACAGGATTTTTTATATAGGGCACATAAAATATGTAAACCCCTTTGCTGTAAACTGTGAGTTTGACTGAGTGCATTTGTGTGTTTTGAGCATTTGTTATGTGCAGTGGCTGCACATAACTTTACTTATGTAACATAGCCTTATTTCCCAAAGCCTTCTGAGGGTAGACTGCTATTTACAGATAGAACATATAGGTGTTTTGTTCCTGACTCACAGAAGCTCTCTTTCCAGTGTACTAAAAATGTTTAATTTTTCTTTTTAACAAACATAAACACTAATTTTCAATAACAACAGATCAAAAGTCAACCTTTTCGAGCCACAGGAAGGAAAGAAACCGGAATGCTGTTCCCTAACCCTTTACCTTGCCCAGTTCTGCATGTCTGGGCTGTGGTGTCCACTGCAATACCCCCAGCCACATGTAACCATGTGTATCAGCGTTCCCATAAATAAAAACTCAGCTCCCCAGCTGCATTAATTGCATTTTAAAGGCCCCCTAACCACAATAGACAGTGTTGATATACAGCATTTTCATCACTGAAGAAAGTTCCACTGGACAACAGAGGATTCATAGTGTAGTTTGGAAATATCACTGATGAGGCCTAGACTGCCTTACTCTTTCAGAACCTAGTCTGCTCATAGAAAAAAATAGGAAAACAACCACAATATTTATGATATCTCCCTACTGGGTAGTTGTGAGATCCCATGGGATGATGTGTATAAAATGCTATGTAATTTTTTTTTATATAGTACCTTGCAAACAATGAACATTATATCAAAGGGGTCAGTGTGACCCCAGGATGCCTTTAAATATACTAGTATCTGTGGGCATTGTTTCTAGATGCCAGATCTCTGTAATCGGTGATGAGAGAGAAACCCAGCCCTACAGTGTCATGTGTTAACATTACTTTCATTCTGATAGGGTCACAGATCATAGAGAGTCAGGCCAAGAAGGGCAGGCCCTTCTGTGGCTGTCCATGGCCACAGCCCTGAGACTATGTTTACCAGTGCACCCCAGATATCCATTTAGAATCAACCATGTTTGGTAAAGAACTGTCCTGCCTTTCAATTGACAGTATCATATTTTTGCAAACTTTTCTTATTTCTCTTTCTGCTCATCTGGCTGTTTCTTGCTCAGCAAATTTTTCATGAAATATGGTACTAATTTAAAGAAATCTGTACCTGTCCCTAAAAATAGGGACCTGTCCAACAGGTCTCTGTCCAACAACTGCTGTTGGGCAACTCTTGCATGGTTGCCAGGCATGTCTTTCAGTTTCCATCCCTGCAGAGCTTTGGTATAGGGTGGGTTAGCAAGATGGGAAGGGTTTCACCTCATGAATATCAACAGATGGTGTTAATTTTTGATGGCTCCATGAACACCTATTCTATATGTGTATGTTTATTTCTTGAGGATCTGAGAGGAAAAAGGTTGTTGAGACTTAGAACCTCTTCATAAAAATCAAGATTCTCAGCATTTTGATGACAACTTTGATATGTGAAGTATTTATGATGCAGGTATCTAGGCTCCATCAAGAAGGCAAATGCCACCCATAGCTTAAAGTCCTCAGGATGCCTATGTAATCCAGGCGGCTCAGTTTCCCCATTGAAAGTTACAGGAAGTGACTCTTGGCTCCAGAATCATACCCTGCCCCAGCTGAACCAGGATGAGGAACCAACAATAGGAAAAGAGGAAGTGGTTTAGGTCACATCATCATCCACACCTAACCTGAGACTCAGATCTCTTACACCTACTACTCCAGTGCTCCTCCCATTCATCCTACCGTCATCCTGTGTGGATTACTTTCCACTTGTTCTAGCTCTGTATCCCATAGTCCCACAGTATCAGTACCATATCTAAAAAAGTTGTTCCCCTTTTGCTAGTTAACTCTGGGTTCCTTTCACAATTGACAATGCCCAGTTTTCTTCTGCTTGGATGATCTGATTCCCTTAGAACACGCTCAAAGCCTGTTGCCAAATCTCTGACCCTCCAAACTTCGGATAAAAACTTTAAAGTCTTTCTGTGGGAGACACAAGTCCTATAGTTTTGCCCCACTCTAATCATTCCAACAACAAAACCAAACAAAAAAAAAAATAAAATGAAGAATGCAGCCATAAACTTTCCAAATCGTTTCATTTCCATAGGGAGACCTTCAGCAGCTGTCTCTTCACAGCGTGCAGCATTCACATCCTCTCCCAGCCACTTTTATTTTTGTTTGCTTCACTGTTTTATGTTTCCTTGTTAAAGAAAAGCAATAAAGTTGAGAATATGTCAGGATGTTGAGTAATCTCTTACTTAATGTTCCTACCTATTTTAAGAGTTTGAGACATCCATCTTTGTATTAAAGGGTGATTATTTCAGCCTCTTTTGAAATAACTTTAAAATTTGGAGACAATATGCACATTTAGATCAAGAATGTCCCCCAAAGGCCTCATGTGCTCATAGGCAGGGCTTTTGGAAGATGACTGAATCACGGTGGTGGGGATATAGCTGCCTTACTGTTAGAACATAGGGTGTGGACAGAAGGGGCAGGTCGCAGGAGGTGTCAACCTGGAGGAGTATATCTTCCCTGGCTCCTCACTTTGCCTCTTCCTTCTTGGGACATGAACAGCTTTTCCTTTACTATGCCCCTCTGCCATGCTGCTCTGCCTTAGAGCCAACCTACCATGGACTCAACCATAAACTCAAATAAATCTCTGCTCCTTTAAGTTGTGCATGTTGAGTATTGTGTTTCAGCGACAAAGAGAGTGATTCAGATGATACATTCTCACCTATAGAGCTGTGGGTAATGATTAGGCACAGCCATGTCAGTGTTAAGATCACATACTCATCTTTTGCGAAATGCTGAGTGTATTTCCTGGGGCATGCAGAACTTTTGAAAGGATTATAGTGCTCCCAATCTTGAACTGCATGATGATTTAAAAGTATGTACATATGTAAAAATTTATTGAGTTCTTTTATTGCATATGGGTTATATCTCAATGAAAATAAATACATATAAAGAAAAAAGTGTTATGTTTATTGACATGGAAATAAATTGAGTCTGTGTGAAATGAGAAAAGAAAGTAATTTGTGAAATAATTTGAATGATATAAATCCTTTTTGGGACCAATCTTCTTTTGTAAATAGCATCATAATGAAATGGAATGGAGTTCACCTGCTTATGTATTATCTATGGCTGCTTTGGCACTGTATATTGGTTTACTTGGGCTGCCCTGGCAAAGTAGCACAGATCAAGTGGTTTAAGCAACAGTAATCTCCTGCCTCACAGATTAGGAGGCGGAAAGTCTGAGATAAAGGTATTGCCAGGACCATGTTGCCTCCGCAGGTCAAGGGAAGGGTTTGCTTCAGGCATCTCTCCTGTCTTTTGCTGGTCCCTGGGCTGTGGCAGCATGAGGCCAGTCTTCACGTGATGCTCTCCGCATGTGTGTTCTAGTTGCTCTCTGCCTTTCTTCTTTTTTGCAATACTAAGGACTGACAGGGTTGATCACAGAGCCTGTGCATTAGTTACATTGATCCCTTAAAAATTTTCTTTTAAATCTTGACATAGGGCTATTCTAAGTCACTAAGTGACCCAGTGACTGATTTCCTCTTTTTTTATTGAAGAATACCAATCATATTGAGTTAGGGGCCCACCCCACCCCTGTGTAATCATATCTTAACTAATTATATCTGCAATGACTCTATCTTCAAATAAGGTCAATTCTGGGGGTTAGGACTTCAACATATGATTTTTTTTTTACTTTTTTTGGAGGGAGGGAGGGACATTTCAACCCATAACACCCTACAACAGCACAGTTGAGTGATTACAGTAAAAACTGTGTGACCAACAAAACATAAAACTATATTCTTTACCTTAAAATTTGCCAACCCCTCTGTGTATGTGTATACACATACACATAAAAACCTTGGAAGCCTGCTCACAAATATGTTACCATATTCTCTGAGTTACAGAATTAGGGCTTATAGACTTTTATAATTAGTTATAGGATTTAAATTCTAATTATATTCTTAATACTTTTCTATATTTTGAGCTTTTAAAAACTTATTATGTAATACTTTTTTGTCACGTAAACCAACAACTGACATGTTTCTTTTGGGAAGAAGAGACCCCACTCCTATTTAGTCCCTGTCCCCTGCCTGCGCACTGGCCCTTGTGGCTTTTTGTGCTCTGCTGCAAACCTTTCTAAAACCGGTTACTGCTCCCCACTGCTGGAGGTGTTAAGGACAAACACTTAGCAAACCAGCAAGCCTGCGTGTTTACTTACTATGGATTCTTCATATCTTTATTTAGCTGCCTCTTGTAAGTCACAGAGAAAAGGTTTTGGCTTTTATCTTCTCATTAAAAATAGATCCTTTTATGATGAGGATGGAGAAGCCATGAATCATCATCCCCAGCTTATGTGATGCTGGATCAGACCTCTGAAACGGGGCCTTGAGCTGATACCAGGCCACCCGCATGACTCCCTGGTTTCTTGTCATTTCAGGAAGTTGGACGCTTTCATCTATGATGCAGCAGTCTTGAATTACAAGGCCGGGAGGGATGAAGGCTGCAAGCTGGTGACCATTGGGAGTGGGTACATCTTTGCCACCACTGGCTATGGAATCGCCCTGCAAAAGGGCTCACCTTGGAAGAGGCAGATTGACCTGGCTCTGCTCCAGTTTGTGGGTGATGGTAAGACCTCGGGACACCCCCTACTTTGAGGAGACTTGAGATCCTCATACTGGTTTTCCAATAGGTCTTTGTGCAATGAATTTGCTCACTAATAAGTACTTATCATGTGATGCATGCTTCCTTAGGTTGCTTAAAATGGAATGCAATTCTAGATAGCTAAATTTGAAAAAAAGAAAATTATTTTAAGGACACAGAAGCAGCTCTCTCAGTGAATTTAAGAGGGTTGAACAAATACATTTAGAGCAAAACAAGAACAAATAGGTTTAGAACAAAACAAGTCTCAAGTCTGGAAATCCAGAGGTCCTCCCTCTAGAGAGGTGGTCCTCAGTGGAAGAGGGGCAATTTTGTCTCGCTGAGAACATTTGTCAATGTCTGGAGGCAATTTCAGTGGTCCCAACAAGCAAGCTGTTAGCTACAATATCTAGTGAATACAGGCTAGGGATGAAGGATGTTAGGAAACATCTTACAATGCCCAGGCCACCCCCCATGTATCTCTAAACATAGAATTACGTGACCCTAAATGCTAGTAGTATGGCACTGAGAGAGTTTGCGCTGGATTATTACATAAGTAAGCTGCCTAAATTCCCATCTCTATTCTCCAAATTCTAAATTTCAAATTATACAGAATTCCTCATCAGTTTTTGGTCAAATACTTTTTCCTGAACTCATCAGGTCTGACTAAGGGGTGGATCATGTTGTGTTCCTTTTTGTCATCCTATGGAGGAGCAAAGGAAGAAAAGCTCTAGAAAAGGGATGGTGGGCAGAAATCCTGTAGGTTTTTAGTACAGCTCATCCCTAACACTGCCTAACATGCAAAGCATACAGTTCCCACCTTTCCAAGTTTTACAGGGGATTAAGCCATTTACAGATCTGTAGAGCCCAGTGGAACGACTGTGGCTCTGGAAGAATTTTCTTGTCTTTCTCAGCTTCATAAGAGATCTCACCACAGCCCAGAGATCCCTGACATGGCTTTTAGAACACAACCATCTGAGTCATGGTTTCTTCTTGAATTGCTACACTGAGATAAGAGGAGCAAAGTCAACATAGAGAACAGGTTGGCACCAGAAATTTGCTCAGTGTGAGGAAGATATGCAAGCTCAGGGCAAGGGCCAGAAGCCCCATTCCAGAGGCTATATTCAGTGATGACTACAGCATATGCTATGCTTGTCTAGAGTTGAGAGAGGAAAGTGTAGCAACCACTAGAGCTGAATACAGTATAGGCAGAGGTTACTGCATAGGATTGGTGTGAATTTGAATGGAGTATGGAATTTCTTGCATCTTTTCCTCCTCTGACTACACCAAGAATTAAACCCTGGATTCTCATAATGTCATCAAGCATGCTAAATGTGTTTTATATTTAACTCTCAAGTAAGTATATCTGATTCTCAGAATTCCCTACAGGGTATTTGTGCCTTCCTCAGATCACTGATTATGTTCTCTGCCAGTAATGGTGATTTGTAGCTGTGTTGGTCAGCTATTGCTGTTAAATCTTACAGGCATACAGCAATAAGTATTTAGTTTGCTCATGGGAGCTCTGCTTCATGCTGGAGTGGATTTGACAGCTCTAAACCTGCAAGCCAGTGTGTCAGTGGTGTGACCTCTGCCCCATGGCTATTTGTTCTGGTGCCAAGTTTACTAGGCAGTGGTTACCTGGGGAAGCTCTTTCCTCTGCTGGAAGAACAGAATGGACATCTTATAAGCCTGTGCACACTTCAAGTCTCTGCTTCACTATATTTTTGTCTGCTAATATTCTCTTATCCAAAGCAAGTCCAAGCCCCAAGTCAAGAGCTTGGAAATGTACTCTTTTATGGGTAAAGATGTAGAGTTTTGGAGGGAGGTTGAAAACTAAAGATTTAAGGCCAATTATTCCATCTACTGCTGGGGTTGCTTAAGCACCTTTACCTGTGGTGGACTATTCAGCATAAGGAGTGTAATCTCCAGCAGTAAATGTCACAGAACTTTGAGCATGCAGATAAATAAGTGTATGGATAAACTGTTGGTGTTGGAATGTATTTCATTTGAAGGAAAATTTTAAATGTGACAGGTGTCTGTCAAAAGACTGAGTCCTATCATAACCCTATCCATCTTTCTTGTTTCTCATGCAAGATCTTATGAAACAGCTAACATATTTAGGGAATAGCAGACATCAGTTGCCACGCTTAGTGCATTGCAAGTGTTCTTTAATTTAATCTTCATAACAAGCTTATGAAGTTAGACATAGCCATTCCCGTTTTACAGAGGAGGAAACTAAAGCTCAGGGACCTTGTAAATCCCCTCACTGTTAAATGAAAATGTCTTTACTTAATGGGCCTTATTCTAGAAAGGGGATCAATTAGACAAAACCTCTGTTTCATTTATTTTTCTAAGATATCTATCCAAATTTACTACTTAGATACTGTACAATAAATTTGTAAACTCTTTAGGAAGAGGTAATTTAGTGCATATCTGAACCAAATCTACATTTGTCCTTTTTACAAAAACTTCTGTGAAAGGGATGACCTTCCTTAGCCTCCGTATACTCATCTGTGAATGGGTTCCGACATGTTTACCTAATAAGTTTCACGTGAGGATGAAGTTGGAAAAATTTAGTGTAGCACAACACCTTCAACATAGAAATAGTTCAACAAACATCAGCTGTCACCTTCATCATCACTATTACCATCATCACCACCCTCAGCAGCAGCAGCATTTCCATGACTCATCGTTACCATAATCACCAACTCCATGATCCTCGTCATCATTGCCATCATCACTGCTGTCACCTCTATCATAGCCAACATGTTCCTCCTCCTCACCACCATCCTGTTCCCTGCATTAACACCATCATTGTTTATGCACAACTTTTATATTCAACACAGCTCATTAGTATTGCACTGACAATAATATAATCAATTGTATCATGGAAATGGTCTTCATGGTGATTTGTAATAAAACATCTTTGAAGTATCCTGTAGATGCTTACTTGCAAAACAGCTTGGACCTTACAGATATTTCATATAGTGGATCATTGCTTTCCCGGTCACACGGTTAGAGTAGGAAAACGTGTCTTTCTTCAACTTCATCTTTAGAGGCCATCTGGAAGCAAAGACATAGGAGAGAAAATGACATTTCTCCAGGGGGGCGTCTTAAGATAATCTTCCCGGAAAGCCATGTCCAATTCTGAATGTCTCTCTAGGAGTAAATACATGAATTAACACAGCTGCATAAATATTTCACTTATCTTACGCAGCTTCAGCAGGATTAATTATGCTCTAAAATTAGACCTGTAAAGAGCACAGTGCCAAGCAGTACCTAATTATTATTCATCCTTTAGAATGGAGTGTTTATCTCTTGTTATAAAGTAGTTTCAGTGGACGATTACAGGTCTAACGAGTGTCAAAAGTATTAAAAAAATTTCCTAATAAGCTGTGTAAATATAATCTTTGAATGGAGTATTTAGTTATTGGAGGAACCTCCTACATGAAGGCTACCAGGCATTTCCTTAAGAGAAAGGGCTACTGATCTGCTTTGAGGGATATACGGAACCCCCAAGTGATCTCCTAACCCTTCCTTCTCCTGTCTGACTGTGTCCTTTCTGAAATGGTGAAGTGAATCATGGGCACTTTGGTTCTCAGTAGTCTGGAAACAGTTCTCACAGCTACTTTTCAGCCTTGATCAGCTCAATATCTTTTTGGAAACAAACACCTTTCCAGGCACTAATGTTTTAAGAAAGTGTTGCCACAGTTTTTTCTTCTTTCCTTCAAAGGGCTTACAGTAGAGCTGATTGACAGCACACAAACTTAAAATATCAAACCTTAAAATAAAAATACATTTGTAATTATTCACAGATATGAATTCATATACACACATATATGTATTCTTCTTTACTCAGGTGTCTTTGGTAGTTAAGAGGGTGGTCAAGTGAGTATACAAGACATACAAGTTTATTTTAAAGGGAAATGAATAGGCAGGATAAGACATAATGACAACATGTAGCCCTATTTAGACAAAGAATAGCATGGACTGGCATTAATGGAAGCCCCAGTGATTCATGCATCCAGCAACTGGCACATCTCTATTGAGTGCCTGATATATCCCTGACACCTAAAACATGTCACCAGGGAGAACACAAAGACTGTGTGAGCCTGGGACCTAAAGACAGGTATTCCTGGCTTCAAAGTGGTGGTGAACAGGAATCTTTTAGGTTCCTTCTAACTCATGGACTTTGTGATTTTTTAAAATATGGTTTTGAAATCTGAAGGGGCAGAAGAAGATAGATCATGGAAGTCAAAACCTTTCTTGTGTATAGGAGCCAGCAAAAAGATGCTAAGGGGAATAAGGCTGTATAATTGCTATTCAGAAGCAAATGATGCTGAGAAAAACTAAGAAAATTATGTTTGAGCTCCTACTCCATGAGCTAGTAACATGACATATGGTACTAGTTATGATACCTGGGTAACCCTTCATATAACATTGTGGAGTAGATCTTATTATCTCTTTTCAGAGTAGGAAAATGAGGCTGAAGTCAGTTAAGTGAGACACAGCAACATGGTTCCCATTCACCATCTATAAGGATCTTGTTTAAAGCAAAGATTTTGGTATCAGTGAGTCCGGAGTGATGCTCAAGGTTCTGCATTTCTAACAAGCTCAGAGGTGATGGTGCTGGACTATGGACAACATCCGGTATGGATTTTATAAATGTAAAAGTTTGATCAAGTTCATCTGATTCTAGTTCTTATCACCTTACCTTTAAACCATGCTGGCTGTGTTGGCTATTAGTACTATTTGTCTTTTAGCACTGAAAAGCATTTAATGTTCCTCTTTTTATCTTTGTACCTCACTCAGTTTTCATGGTTGTGTGTTTAGTTTTAAACCCAGAAATATGTTCCTTATCCCCAGTATCTAGTCTGAGTTCACTGGATAAATGAGACTGAACATATTATTATATGAACATAGCATCCACATATTTTATAAATTCTTTATATCATATATCCCACTGCATTTATCTATTTATGTAGATTTAAAATATTTGTGAGATATTTAAAAATATGATACATATCTCATATTAATATTTTCAAAAGGGTGACCAACTCAATTAATTTTGATGAAAGTCTCAATTATAACACTAGTCAGTGACCCCAATTATACCATATGTGAGCATAATAATAGTTTTCAATATCATATATGAGCTATTTGAAAGATATCACATGTATCATTTCAGTTGGACAGGTATACTTTGTTCCCTCTGTCTCTTTTGTACCTCAACATGGCCAGCAAATGTTCTAAAGGTTCATCTGAATTGTTAATGGATTGGAAGGGACTACAGCTTTGCTGTCTCTTAATGAAGAACTTTCTTGCAATTGATTCTAGAGCTTTGGAAAGTGTTAACCCAGCATAACAATGCTCCGAGATCCCGGAACAGGGGAAGGTGTTGGAGGGGAGTCCATGGCAAAGCCCGGTCTCTGCCTCCGAGTGGGTTAGTGTTGACATCCTGATTCCTTCTTTGTTCGCTGCTCTTCCACTGAAGCATGCAGGATGGCTTTTGACAGCCAGGGACTCCGTGCTGCCAGCTGGAGTATGGAGTGTTTGTGATTGCAGTTCTTTGTGTATCTAATTAGGATTTTCATAAATTGCTCTGGGGCATTGGATGAGTTGCGAATATCCTCAACACTGCCTTTGTCCAACTTTCCAGTTCAATTATCTGTGGGCTGCTGTCTGAGTTTTGGGGAGAGCTGGACACCCCTGCGTCTTGTTTTGTAGTGACTGCACATGCTTCTCTTCCAAAGGCAGCACATCTGAGAGGTCTTTGTAGGCTTAGAGCTAGCCTAGAAATGGTATGGCAGTGTAAGGTGAAGAAATCCTTAAGTGCTCCACCCCAAAATGTTTGACTTTTTTTTTCAGGTAAGCATAGAATCAACCTCCTTTAAAAATAGAGACCATTCTACCTTCTCTTCTTGACTCCATTTCCTGATTTGAATGCACTCCATCATTTAGACTTTTGGATTCCTCAGGAAGCCTCACTTTAAGAACCCTAAGGGAAATCCCCTGGCTACTAACTCCTTGAGCTCCAAGCTTGTAGCATCCTTGTAGCATTTAGCATAGCAAGAAAAGTAAAATGAGTAAGATGAAGGATTCACAGTTTCTGAGGCATGTAACCTTGGGATTCTCTGAGTCTGTTTCCTCATCTTTAAATTAGATTTGTTTGAAGATTAAATCTAAAAATAAGCATAAAGAAAAGAGCCCAATTGATGGGTTAGTGAAGAAATTAAAAAGGACAATTTTAAAAGGTCCCTTGAGATAAATGAAAATAGAAACACAGCACTCCAAAACCTATGGGATATAGCCAATGTGGTGCTGAGATGGAGGTTTATAACCATAAACACTCACATGAAAATGTGGAATGATTGCAGAGAAATCAGCCGGATCCCAATTGTGCTTTAGAAGTCTTTTCATTTTGGGCCTCTCCATGTGCCATAGCCCACTGAAGTACACTGAATTCTCCCTCTTCAGGGAAGATGCTATTCATGTCCATTCTTTTTCCCCCCACTCTTCTCTTCCCTCAAGACTCACAACAGAGGCAGTCATGCAACAGAAGCCCAAAATCATTCAATGCATAAATGAATGATGTGATTGTACTGTAGAGGTATGTTTCTAGGACTTGTCTCAATATTTGGATATCTTCTCTCTAAGAGTATTGTCTTAGTTACTTTTCTCTCATTGCTGAGACAAAATATACAACACTCAAAATTAAAGGGGGAAATATTTTTTGGCTCAGAGATTGTAGAGTTTTCAGTCCATAATCAGGTTGCTCCAAGGTGGGGTGGCATGGCAGATAGGCATTGTAGAGGAGAAATAGTTTGTGGCAGGCAGAGGTAGCAAAGCAACAAGGAATGACCACAGATCCTTCCATCCCTTATAGCTTATCCAGGTTACTTAGGGCAGGTACACTCACACCCGTAATCGTATGCCCTTGATCTTAGCATTGCACCATGAATCAGTTCCAACATCATACACTCTAGATCCAGCCACCTCTTAAAAAGCCACATGAGACTTTGGAGAGCCATCTAAACACAAGCCATAGCAAGTATTATTTTCTTAAAGAAAGACACTAGATGCCTGTAGAGAGGAGACACAAAGAGGTAATCACTTACCACACTCAAATTCTGAGCCCCTGTATTCATTCTAAGACAGAGACAAATTCTTCCTTTATCTAATTTGTGTACTATAATAGTAAATACTCCTATTTTACTTAATCTTTTAAACACAGTCTTCTGTGATGGGTAGAACCAGCAAGGTGATATATCCTTTAGAACTTGAGTGGATCATAAATTATGCTAAGTCCAATCATAGGGAATCTGAAGCCCACGGAAGATGGATAGGACCTTGCTAAGGCTGTATCATGGAAAAGTGGCAGGAAGATGCTAAAACCCATATTTCCTGCCTCCTAGACCAGTGATGTATTAAAAACAAAGCAAAAGGAAAACAAAACATGTGATGATCCATTGTCCTACTCCTGTAGGGGAAGACTTGACCTTTGTAGCTGGAACAAGAGATGGGGAAGCTAGATTATCTGTAACCATGGTGATTAGCAGCCCAGCCCATTCATAACACCTGCAGTAGAATGAGCTCTGCTCCACTGTCTCTGTCTCCCTTCCTTCCATTTTGTACAGTACATGCAGTGTGGTCTCAGGACATTTTCCCAGCCCATCCTGGTCAAGACCTCATTGAGGACAATGGGCATGTTCCCTCTTCTAGATGTCCTCCAACATATGCATGTGTGTTTTCTTTCACTGGTGCTGGGGGTTGGACCCAGAGCCTTGTACATGTCAAGTACACATGTGCTGTGCTACTGAGCTAAACCCCCCAGCCACATCTTTTTTGATAACCAGTTCTGTTTACATCATCTCACTCTGGTTACCATACAGATGTCACCCAAGGTCAGGCCCAAATCCCTTCACCAGGGAGGAGTTTGTGAACTGGAGCTATATCCTGTATTGCTTTATTAACATGTGGTTTTGTTCATTGTAATGTCATTAGCATAAAGAGAGATTTCTAAACCCTGACAATTGGTAGAGGAGTGAGGTCAACAGGTGCAT